ATAAATCGCCTCTTGTGTATGTATCTCTATATCTGTTGGTTCTGTTTCTCTGGAAAACCCTAATACACAGCCAGCTTTTCAAGCTTGTAGACGAAACTGAAGTTTCTAGAAAGCACACCTCCTTCAGTCAGCTCAACCTGATTTCAACTTTCCATCTTTGGTTTAATACCTCGAGAATCCACCTCTGTGCATGTTTATCAGATTGTGGACATAAATGAGCAGAATCTGGCAGTTTTGGGGTGTGTTTGTATCTCCTACCAGGTCTGTCCCTGGAACCTGCCTGCTGGGATATGTGGGGACCTAACCCAGGTTCAAGTCTAAAGGCAATGAAAGGTGATCATGGGGGTGAAGAAAGTTGGCTTACCTGACGAGTGATAAATCCCTCAGATGAAGAGGGGAGAGGAGTGGTGAGATGAGTGAATAGATGAGGGACATTAAGAAGCATACCTTCCAGTTACAAAATAAATGAGTCTCAGGGATGAAATGTACAGCGTGGGGGAATATTGCCAATAATATTGTAATAATAAAAATGTATCGTGGCAGATGATAACTTGGCTGATCTTGATGATCATTTTGTAAGGTATAGAAGTATTGAATCACTATGTTGTGTGTGTAATTAACATGGTGTTACAGGTCAACTATACTTCAATCAAAATTGTTCAAAAATAAACATCCTCAGGTTGCTGCAGGAATTTCAGCTAAGGCAAGAGTGAGCTCATCAGACAGAGGAAGAAAAAACATGTTTCCCTGGGAAGGGAGGCTCCCTGGCACTTGTCGTGGGGACTTGCCCAGTTCTTAAGTTTTACTTCTTTCCCATCAGTGCTTTGAATTAAACTGATACAATAATTAGGCAAATCACAGGATCAAAATTTGAGTCTAGATTCTAGCCACTGGTCAATTAGTTACATACCGCCTCTCATCTCTGAATGTATCTCCAATACATGTTTCTTTCAGCATTTTCCCTTTAGAGTGTGCACTATGCTAAGCTTTCTCAGTAGAGAACACTGGAGGAATGTTGCAGAGAGAAAAGTTTTTTGCAGTTTCTGGCACAGGTCGGGACAAGGGTGGATCTTGTGGCCTCAGCCCTGCAGTCACTTTTCTGCAGCCTGTTTTGACATGAAAACCAAAGCCCCACGTGTCCTGCACGCATAGCTGACAGTGGCCAGGGAGCCACGCAGGAGGAAGACCACAGGAGAGAGAGTTTAGGGAAGAGAAGGCCAGATGATAAGCAAGAGGATGATGGCAGATCAAAGAGAAGAGGCCCAAGGACTGACTTTGATGTAGGGTCAGGAAAAGGATGGCGAACCAGCAGGAGACACAACTGCTCCCCCCGCTGCGTGTGGAGGGCCACCGGCCTGCACCACCCCTGCGGGCTGGGACCCCAGCTGCTGTGCCCTGAAACTGCCAACCAAACCCTTCTCCTCTGGTGCTGTTTGCCTCACCAGCTCCTATTGTAACATCTGGGCTGGGTGCATCTGGCCTGCTGAGCTAAGCCCGCAGGCCTTCACCCTAGCTTCAAGGCAATGAGCTGGGAAAGACAGCATGTGGCAAATTTGGATCTGTGGTCAGAGTGGCTCTTCTTTCTAAGATTCATACAGTGGACATGTCTTACAGGGTTGTTATTTCAACCATAGAACTTTCTCTCAGTCTAAGGACTTATTATAGATATTGACAGCTCACAGAATTTCAGAAAGGACAAGGGAAACAGGTTTGGAAACTACACAACCAAGGACAATGCCGTGACAGCAAACCCTGCCAGGCACAATTTTCACAAAGCCACCGCTGTGCCACCCCACCAACCAGGTACACCCAGGACTAGACTGGAAAGATGCATCTCAGCCTCCTCCCCAAAACTAGATGCTTCTTCTCCTGCCATCACTGGAAGGAAGTTCCAGCTCACACAGCTGCGGCTTCAGAGTGCTCATTTCCATACCCAAATCTCAGGCAAGCATGTTGACTGGCAGAGCCCCAGTCACGTGATCAGCATTATGGGAACTTGGTGTTTATGGAATCCTAACTTGAGAAGATAAAGCTCAAAATGTGAGAAATACCAAAGTGGAGAGATGTTCGAAGGACGCTGTACATCTCTGAATGACAGCTGTCCCCTGTAGGACAGAATTTTCCAAATGTAGGAGGAGCTTATAGGTCTTGGCAGCCAAAACAATGACAAATAAGAAAAATGACAAGTAGCTACCATAAATATTCCCACTCTCATTTTTCTCATTGCCCCAGAAGCTACTGGCAGCTTCCTGAATTCAGCATTCTGCTAAAAGGGAAGCTTCTTGGTGGTCCTTATTTTTTTGTTCGTTTTATTTACCAGTGAATCCCAAGTGCCTAGAAAGTGCCTGGCACATAGCAGGTGCTTGATACATATTTGTTAAATCAACTGAAGAGATGTATTTGTTACAGTAAAAAAAGACAAAGCTTCAGGTGGAATGTGGGTTTAGAAAACTGCTTTAGGCAACTTTAAGCTCAATTCAAACACCTACAGCAGGAGAAGCAGCAGTGTGACCCTTTCTGTCAACCACTGGGAATGAAACAGAGTTTTAAAATAGGGTTGGAAAACTAAGGTCTAGCAAAAGGGGGGAAACAGGTGGCAGTGTCAGGAAATGCAAAATGAAATTTCATATGTTCAAGTAATGAGTTCATTACAAATTTAGTGATTGACAGCAGGTGTAATTTCTGAATTTTCACTACTACGTTAGCTGTGTCTTATGATTCCATGCTATCACAGAAAACATATTTTAAAAATATTGAAATTAGCAGACACAAGGGTTAGGATTTCCATTTCAAAAAGATATCCCATTTCCATAGCCCAGCTGAATGAGCTCTCAACTTCCCGTACCTTGGGTGGCAGAGAATGTAAGGGAACAGCGTCCCATGAGAAAGAGCAGAGCACAGTGAAATGCACCTGAGATCTCTAATCTTCACCTGAGCAATTCACCTGGGAAGTTCCGTAACTCACAAGGTGTTATAAAATTAATCTACCAGTTTACTGCCCTGGAATAGACAAAGGTCCATATGATAGCTCTGTAATTTCCTCTTCCCCAGAGAGGATTCTCATCTCAAACTGGAGTCTTATATTCTAAGTTTCTTTTCTTTTCTTTTTTTTTTCAAAAGGGAGATTTATAAAATCCAGTTCTGTCCGTGTGGCTTTCCTCTTCACTGTGCTGTATTTACAAACATATACATGTATTTCTAAATAGTACTATACCAGCCAGGCAACAGAAATCACTCTAGTTAACTTGAATAGGAAGAGATTTAATACAGGACATTGGAAACCTACAAAATCTTTGAAAGGAAGGGGTAAGTGAGCACCAGCCTGGGCCTTTAAGAAAGACTCCCAGAAAACACCACCACTGAAGCTGTTACTTCTGCCCCAATCTGCTGGCCACCACTGGGACAGAGTTCAAAGACACAGGGCTTAGCTGGGAACCAGGGATTTGGAAACAGCTCCAAATTCTTTGGATTGAGCAACTGAGTGAATGGGGATGCCATTTAGTAAGACCAGGAGCAGGCTGGGGAGGTGGGAATGTGGCAAAAACTCTGATTCAGTCCTGAGAAGTTCAAGATAACCATGAGATACTCAAGAGGAGATGTTAAAAGTGAAGTTGCATTCGAAAATGTAGAGATGAAAGGGAAGTCTAAATCGGAGATTTAAATTTAAGAGTTTTCTTACTACAGAAGTCATGCTGCAATGTGCTTTTGTTTTTAGAGTTTAAAACGAAGCTCAAACACTTTTAGGCAGCATTAGTAGAAGAAGGATGTACAAAGAGGTAATCATAGTTCAAATATATTTCTACTAAACCTCACTTCACAAGAGACTGGAATGGATGTATTGTGGGTGGGCATACCATACCTGGAGCATTATATTTTGTTCTAGAAATATATTTTGCTTTGACAAAGAAGAGTGTGGCTACAGGCACATGTAGGATAGTGAGGGACCTGTAAATGCATGTTCCAAAATCTAGGAAAGAAGGGCAATAAAGCTATTACTTGACTGGATATGCCAATCAAAGCGAATATAGAGGATCGAAATACTGAATGAAGAAACTTTTGGCAACACACACACACACACACACACACTCTTAAAGGGTCTGCAGGCCCCTGGCTCTTTCTCAAGCCTCCCTTCTCTCCCAGCCTGCCCAGACTATTGAAAGTCCAGGAAGTTAAACAGTAAGCAGCCAGCCCGTTCCTGGGCCTGGATCTGCCTCTTCAAGCAGACGCTGCCAGAGAGCTGGGGGTACTTGGAAATTTGAGTTTAGGCGATGGAAGGTGATTCACCCAGAGGCGAGATCCTAGCCCCGGGTCCAGGCGCCGGGGGGCAGTGGAGATGAAGCCCTGGCCGCCACGGGTTCTAGCACACCAAGAGAGCCCTGGTGGAACACGACCCGGTCGGGACTAGGACGGGGGCGTGGAGATG